TTAGTTTCTTTAGTTTCTTTAGTTTCTTTAGTTTCTTTAGTTTCTTTAGTTTCTTTAGTTTCTTTAATTTCTATAACTTCATATTCATCATCATCTTCATAGTTTCTGTAGTTTCATATTCATCTTCTTCAACCATTTCAATATCATCAGTATCTTCAGCCATTTCAATATCTTGATTTGATTCTAAATTAGTACCAGGTCCTGCAAATGTCATTTTTTTTCCAATAAAATCTAAAACATTATTATAATTTGTAGTTCTTTCTAATTGTAGTAATCTTTCTTTTATTAATTTTATTTCTTCTAATATTTTCTCAAATAATTCTTTTTGCATTTCATTTTCCATTCTTTTTATATACACAAAAAAATTATTTAACTCATTTTAAATTTTTTGATTTAAAATATTTTATCAAATAATAAAATAAAAAATGAATTATGATGAGATTAATGAAATATCTGAATTTCAAAAAGAATTTAGACTTTTTGAAGAAATAAGAAACTTTAAATTTGAAGAATCTGATTCTGACTCTGAAAATGATACATACTTCGTATCTGATAATTCTGATGAGGAAGAAATTCAAGAAAAATGTATAATTCCAACTCCTTCAAAAACAGTACAAATTATGGAATTGTATAAAGATAAACTGAAATGGATTAATTATGTTCCAACTTATAATGATAATATCGATGATGATTATCCTATTATAGATAAAACTTATTTTAAAAAACATAACAAAAACAGAAAATTTAGTTTTGAAAAACCATTTAATGTTGAAATTAATTTTACTGAAGATGGAAAACCTTCTGCAATTCATTTTGTAGAAAAGTTACCTATTTCTTGTAAAAATATATTAAAAGATGTTTTTTTCCCTTTTGGAAGAAAATGTAAATACAATCATGATATTCCTTATTGTAATACTGTAAAAGAGAGATTAATATGCACTAAAGCCTCATGTAGGTATAAGCATATTGCTCTATGTTCTATATACCCAAAATGCAAGAATAAAGAGTGTAGATTATTTCATCCTAAAAAGTCAGAATTATTAAAATTAAGAAAAGCAAAAACTAAATTATGTAAATATATTCTTGATAAAAAAAAATGTCCTTTAAAAGATAAATGTAAATATGCTCATACTAAAGATGAAATTAAAGAAAAAGTAGAGAATTGTCTATTTAAACTATGTAAATTAACAGAAAAGAAAATAATGAAAAATAAAAAAGGTGAAAAAATAACTTTATATAAAAATATTAATGATAATAAAAAGTGTTATTATTTACATGAGAATGAACAAATTGTAAATTATATTGTAAGAACTTTAAAATATTAAATATTAAATATTTAATATTTATGACTTAAAAAAATCTTTACGATTTATAAAAAAATATATAAGAGAAGAATGTTTTTAGATTATGAAAAGCATGAAAAATATACAATAACTTTTAATATTAATTCAGATTTAGAACATAGAGCAATAAATGATAGGTATATTAAAGTATTCGCACAAGAAGATTTTACAGTAAAATCAAATTTATATAATAACATTTCTTTAATGTGTGGAGTTAAAGTAGATAAAGGACATGTATTGATTTCACTTGCAGAAAATTATAAACCAACACTAAATTTACAAAATTCTGTTGTAATAGAGTCTACTGATGATATTAAAATAACTTTATATAATAACGATAAAAAAGATATAAATATTAAAAAAGGGGATTTGTTATGCTGTATATCACATTTTAAATGGTGTTTTTAATGCAAATTATATATCACATAGGGTTGCTTTAGAACCTGATAAAAAAGTAGAACAAGTAAAGTTTCAAAGTGATAAAGAATCTGTAAAATCTATATTATCAAGTATAGGAGAAATAATTAAAAAAAATATATGTGATGAAGATAAACCTAGTTTAGATAAATCAAACAAAGCTAAAGACTCTACTGTATTTGATTTTGGTAAATAAAAAAATATTAAAATAACTTAGCGAAGCAAGGATTTATAAAATGAATTAAACAAATTTTTCTTTAAAGAAAAAGAACGGAATGTAAAACTGAATGTAAACAACTTTATCTAGATCTTAACCAGTTTTCAGAAAATCCATCTGCACCACCAATTTCTGATCATAACTTTAGATTACAAAAGATTAGTGAAATTCAGAATAAAATAGAATGTGAAAGGAAAAGAAGAGAGATCTTAAGTCATTTCAGCAGTTGATAATACATTACTAGCAAGCACTATGGCATTAGGAGCTGCTGGAGTGGGTTGTTTAGCAACAGGTGTATTAGCTCCAGTAGCTATTGGCTGTGAGATTGCTGCATTAGTTATAGGAGCAGTAAATTAATAGGATCACAAGCTAATAAAAAATTAAACTTAAAAGCAGAAAAGCATGAAAAGATTAAAGTACTAGCTGATGCAAAACTAAATACAATAAGTAGTCTTATTTCTAAAGCTATATCAGATCAATATATTGATGATGCAGAATTTAATATGATACTTTCAGAACTTGAAAAGTTTTAAGCTATGACAGAACAAATTAGAACAAAATCTAAAAATGATATAGATGAGCAGACTAAAGAGTCAATATTTAATAAAGGAATAGAAAAAGGTACAAATGATATTATGGAAGTGCTAAATATGAGATTTAACAAGAATCAAAGTATGATAAATGATAAATGATAAATGATAAATGATAAATGATACTCTTAAAAATTAAAAACATATATTATTTATTACTTGAACATAATAAATGTTGATTTAAAAAAATATTGCTTATAAAAAATATCGTATGTAAAAGCTACAGATATTGATGCAAGATTAAAATTAGCAAAAGAACTTGATGGGTTAAAGAAAAGTGTATATCAAGATTCTATTAATGAAAAGTTAGGTTATGATACTTTACAGACTAACTTGGAAAAATTGTACAAACCAATAATAGATAGTCAATCTGGAATAAAAGAAGGCTTATCTAAATTAGAAAATAAAGCTGATCAATTAACTAATACTTTTTCAAGTTATCCTACTTTACTAAATTCTGAAACTAAAGCAATTATGCCACCTGAAATTGTAAATAACAATGTCATTAGGAGCTATCGCAGCAGAATATCTAAAGTTATATACTGCTAAAAATAGTAAAAAAGTATCAGATGACATATTTGGTATACATTACAATGAAGATAATAAAAAATTTTACATTGGTAAAAAACCAATAACTATTGAAGGTAATGATATAACTATTGAAAATAAAAAATACATTGGAACACCTGATCTTTGGGAGATCATAGTAAAATCTCATCCTGTTAAATATACTAACGATGATCGTAATAAGTATAAAGAAATTTTAAATCAAACAGATGCAATTCGCTCTGATTTAAATTCAGCTAAACCAAGATCATCTAGAAGTCTGGAAAAGGAGTTATCGTTCTTCCTAGTGATCCAAATGCACTATTTGATATGCTTAAATTACGCTTAGCTGCTTTACAAGCGGGCAATACTGGAGTTAAAAATGTTGCTATTTGCGATGAGTTGTTACGACAAGGTCAAATAGATGATGATGAGTATAAAGCATTACAAAAAGCAATTTGTTAAATGAATTAAATAAAAATGTTATATATAAAAAATGACAAAATACTATGATACTCTTATAAATCTTTCAGATAGTCAAAAAGAAAATATTAAAAAAGCAAATGAATCTGATACTAATGCTAGAATAGAACTATCACATCAAGATCTAGATGGTGAGCATAAAATAGCTTTAACAGAATCGCAAATAAACAGAATGAAAGCAGCATATGAAGACTCCATAGGAAGAAACGGCAGGGTCACATTTTCTCATTTTGCGATAACTCATTTTTAAACTTTTAAACCTATATAACTTTTTTAATTTTAGGGAAAAGATTAAAATTTTTAAGATATATTACAAAAATAACCAATTTTTTATGCAATTAAAGTTGCATTTCTAATTTAAAAATAAAAATTTACGTGATATACTTTCTTTTTTAAGTGAGGTTTTTTGTGGACTCTGCCGTTTTTTCCCTTTTTAAATTAGTTTTCAACAATAATCCATTCCACGAATCACGATGAAATACAATGCCACTTGAGTCTCCTCTGAAACAAATTTGACGAAGAGGACGTGTTGGAATTGGACATTTATTCTTATAAAATGGTCTTATAAAATCAGTTATACTTTTAACCATACATTGCGTTAATTCTATAACATGAAACGGAGTGGGGTTTTTACGAGCATTTTTGAATGTTTTAATCCAATCTGATGGATCACTAGTGGGTGTTTTGCAATTAATTAATCCCATATCTTTATCACATTCCATAAAAGAATGACCATGTTCTGGAAATGTAACTTTAATATAGTCAAACCTTTTTTTTTCATGTACAAGAAAATCCATAAAATGAATTAATCTATAGTTTTTGTTTTGGCCACCACATGAATCACAAAATAGCTAAATACAGATCGAATTTCTTTGTCTAAATGTTTTATAAAAAAATCATATAACATCGAAGTTACCTCATCAGCCCCTTTTTTCGCTATAGTTTCATCATAACAATACAAATAAACTTTATTACTTGAAAGCACGTGAATATTAAATGAATAAAATGCTAATTTTCGTTTGTAGTAAAAGCCGTTGGTTGATTGATTTGGTAAGTTAAGATTTTTTTGGAAATCAAAAGCAATTGCCTCAAATTTGTACTCCCTTTGTGCTTTAAACCGAGCATTTCTTTTCCTGACATAAAATGTTTCTGCATCTTTGTGGTGCTGTTTTTTCAGTAACTCAAGCTCATGCAATTGTTGTTCAGGCTTTGTACATTCTGAATTAAAAGATAGTTCAATTTTTATTGCATCAATTTTAATTTTAAACTCATCACATTTTGAACATGTGTCAGTCCTAGGGTACCCAAAAGAAATGTTAAAACTAGTGTTAAATATGTTGCGATAAGATTCATATGACAATTTATCATTTGCATACTTGATTTTAAACAAGTCATACATCTTGGTTATATTTGAGGAAGATATAGTCGCCTAGTTTTTTTTTGAGAGTAGTGGGACTCTCTACCTCTGAAAGAAGAAATGTGATCACATATTTTATTTTTTAGTTGAGGAGTAAAATTGTTATACTGATTCTTGTGTTTACCTCTTTTATCATGGGGAGAGTGACCTATAATGAGAAAAAAAAATTTATATATAAAAAAACTTATATATAAGATAACTTCCACAAAAATAGTCATTTTGTATTCAATAAAAATATATAATTTACCTGTAGTTAAAAGGCTTCTTTTAATGGTCTCCAATCTTCCCTTCTTTATGCCAAAGATTGAAATAAACGCAGAAAAACAAACATAAACAAACGAACTCGCAAATATCTCGTGATTTGTAATAAAAAGTCTATATGTGTAACTGCTATTATAACCTTTTGAATTAATGTTTCGTGGTCTTCTTCTTGAAACGTTATTTAAAGTTATTAAACTTGCAAGATACGAATCTTGAGCATCCTTGCTGGATAGAGAGTTAAAATATCTTGTTAACACTTTTCTATCTTCTTCTTTAACATTATGAAAACATTTCAGCCTTATACAGTTACATCCAAGCCCTATTTTATGCGATGATAATCTTTGTTTCTTTATAATTTCACGCAATCTTTCCTTACTTTTTCTTTTCTTGGATTTCTTTAGCATTTCTATTGGTATTTCAAGTATCGCCATTTTTAATATTTAATTTACATTAACCAAATCACCTGTGATTATTTTGAAAAACAAAGACTTATAGCCGTAAGTATGAGTCTTGATAATTCAAAAAATAAAAATGGTAAACTTGGTTTATGTCTATTAGTAAGTTGCGAATATTATTTAAATTCATAAACACTTGTCTTTTCGGGGAGGTATGTATTGTATAATAAAAAAAGTGATTAAGTTCCATCAAACTATAAAGGTACATCCAATTGTTTTTTTGATTTGAATTCAAATAAAATGTATAATAATATTGTTTATAAAGTTAAAAAGTGTAAAATGTTAAAATTTTCAAAATGTGACCCTGCCGTTTCTTCCCGTGGAGTCTTCATATATAAAAGGTATTGGTATAACACTTTCACTTAGTAGTGCACAACTTAAACATAATGTTAAAGGTGGATTTCTACCTTTTCTTGGATTAATTGGAAGTCTAATTGCGTCAAAAGTTGTTCCGGCTATAGCAACAGGATTATTGACTGGAACAGCTGCAGCTGCTGGAAGTACTATAGTTAATAAAATTGCTGGAAAAGGTATTAATCATAAGAAAAATTATGTTAATATTTATGTGAAAAAGAATGGTAAAATTATAAAAGGAGGAAAAGGAGTATTTTTAAACCCATGGAATGGTAGTTATAACTATTTAGATGAATATTATTCTAAAAATGGAAATGAATATTCATCAGTAGGTAGAGGCTTGTTATTAGGAGAAAATTCTCCATTTAAGAATATACCATTATTAGGCCTTCTTCTTTAGGTTCTCTTAGAACCCATGCTTCGCTAATTCATTTAATGAATCTGGATCCCTTTGGGATCTAGATCGTTTCGTTAAATCTCATAAAAAAAATATATTTTTTTAAAAATATATATTTATCGATTCCACAACGAAGTTGGATAATAAAGTAAATCTAATTCACTTCTATACTTTCCATTTAATAAATCATTATAAAAATCTATAACAATAAATCCAGAAGACAAATCTATAACAACAAATCCATGCTTTTTTGACCAAGCTTCATTACAAAATTTTTTAAACTCATCTAATTTCATATCATTTGAAACATGGTCATTATAAATATGATTTACATTTTTAGAATCTTGTTTAAACAAGCATATAAAATTTGCATTTTCTCTTATCGTTCTCCTAGGCAACTCAAAATAATTTTGCGCCAAGTAGAAACAATCTACATTGCTATGTCTTCCTCTTATATAGTACTTTTCACACTTGTTTTGTTTTGTTAATTGTAAATCATCGAATATCATTAAATTATTTTTAATACAGTTAAGATTTTCAGGTTCTGGAACATCATCTGCTGTTTCAAAAAATTTACATTCTATATCTGTTTTATCTTTTAAATCTCTTGAAATGTTTTTAATAATAAACTCTGGATTTACATTGTTTTTATTTATTTGTTCTTGCAACTTAAATAGTTCAAGAATAACTTCTTTTGGTAATTTATTTTCAAAAGAATTTTTTAATATTTTGCATTCAGGTTGAAAAAGTGACTTTCCGAAAACTTGTAATTTATTATAGTCTAACCAACCAGGTCTTAAAAGCAAGTTTAATAATAATGTTGTCTTTCCACAACCTGATTTTCCAACAATAATTTCCCTTATACTTTTAGGTAATAACTCATTATTATGACGTTTACTTTTATTTACATTCCATGATAAATCTATAATATCCATTTATTTATAAAAAAGATTTTTTTTAAATTAAATAAAAATAAAGTAATAAAAAATGTACTGCGTTAAATGTAAAAATAAAACAGATAAACTCAACTTAGAGCATGCTGTGAGTAAAAACAATAGAAATATGCTACGTGGAAATTGTTCAATATATGCAACAAGAAAATGTCAATTTACAAAAGGAAAAACAGGAGGTGCTTTAGTAGAATCTATTAATAAATTCACAAGTAATAAAAAATTACGTTTGCAAAAGTTTCCAGGTGAAATGCATATACCAGGTATGAACTTTGCAGGACCTGGCACTAATTTAGATGAAAGATTAACTTCTACTAAAATGCCTAAAGAATAGAGCATGCCTGTAGATAGGGTTGATAAAGCAGCTTATATTCATGATCTTACTTATAAGCATTATCCAGACAAAGAGCATAGAAATTTAGCTGATAAAATGATGCTTGAACAAATAGATGCTATACCTAATCCTACACTATACCTATGGGAACTAAAGGACACAATTTGAATTGGTCCTTTAGTTCCCATACCAAACCTTACTATATCATATCTGCTAAAGTAAGGTTTGGTATGGGAACTAAAGGACCAATAAGTATTAAAGAATTATGTGAAAAATTAGAAAGAAAGATTATAAAACCATCTGCTAAAGTAAAGTTTGGTATGGGACCCATAAGTATTAAAGAATTATGTCAAAAAAACTACCAGCGCACAGGAAAAAAGCAAACTACTTGAAATGGACTGATGAACTTGCAAATGAACTTCGTAAACCAGTTATAAAACATTTTAGAAAAAGAAAAGTAATTTCAAATGGAATTGATGAAATATGGGCTGCTTATTTAGTTGACATGCAAGCTTATTCTAAATTTATGGTATAAAATACTTATTAATGATCATTGATATATTTTCAAAGTATGGATGGATAATTCCGTTAAAAAATAAGACAGGAATTAAAGTTGCTAATGCATTTATTAAAATATTTAATGATAGGAAATGCAATAAATTATGGGTTGATAAGGGTTTAGAATTTTATAATAAGCATGTTAAAGTATTAGATGTGCATCTCTATTCAACTGAAAATGAAGAAAAAAGCTGAGTAGTTAAACGATGGAATAGAACAATGAAAGAAAAAATGTTTAAATACTTTTCAGCTAATTCTACTAGAAAATACATTGATGTTTTAGATGAAATGGTAGATCAATACAACATTACAAAACATTCTTCAATTAAAATGACTCCTATTGAAGCAAGCGATAAAAAGAATGAAAATAAAGTTTGGATGAATCTAAATAGTAAAAAAGATCTGAACCTATTTATCCTAAGTTTTCAATAGGTGATAAAGTAAGAATAATTAAAAAGAAAGCAACATTTGAAAAAGGATACACACCAAGATGCACTGAAGAGGTATTTACAGTATCACAAGTTCAGTACACAGATCCACCTACTTATAAAATAACTGATTATAATAATGAAGAAATACAAGGTACTTTTTATGAATAAGAACTTCAAAAAACAAATCAAGAGATATTTAGAATTGAAAAGGTTATTCGTAAACAAGGTAATAAATCATTTGTAAAGTGGTATGGGTATCCTGATACTTTTAACTCATGGGTTGATAATACAGATTTGAAAGCAATTTAAAATTATCTTACATATATAAAAAATGAACAACTCAATTGTAAATGTGAATATATGTGTAACAGCTACTTCTGGTAATGCTAATACAAATACAACTGTAACGACGACGACATCAAATTATAACTCTAGCAAATGATACAAGAAAAAAATTGTACATTTTACAAGAAAATTAAAAAAATTAAAATGAGTTAAATAATTTTCTTTACATAATAAAAAGAATGGAAATAATTAATTCTTATAAAATAATAAACGAATTAGAATTAGAATTAAAATTAAAAAAAGAAAGACTTGATGAATTAACGGAAAAAGAAGTGTGTAATGAAATTGAATTAAGTCAAATGAGAGAACTAAATCCATATGATGATGAAAAAGAAAGATTATATAAAAAAGATATATTAATTCGAGAAAATACATTAGAAAAAAAAAAAAAAATAATAACAGACTTGAAAAGTAGATTAAAAGAATTAAAGTTAGAATTAAGATCAGAAGAATTAACATTAGATATAACAGTAAAAAATAAAATATTAAAAGAAGAAATGATAAAATGTGGAATGGAAGATAAATTTGGATTAATGTCATATTTATTATTTGATAATAAAGTATTAGAATTAAATAAATGTTATAAAGAATTAGAAAAAATATCAGGTCAAGATACTGATAAAAAAAGAATAAAACAATTAAAATTTGAAGATGAAGTAAAAGAAGAATTAAAAAGAAAATTAAAAGAAAGATTTAATTCATTATCAAAAATAAAATTTAATCAAGAAAGAATGAATGAATTAATAAAAGTTATTGTAGATAGGAGTGAAATCGGATGTATAAAGGAAGATTTAAATAGTATAGAAAAATTATTATTACATAATAAAAAAATTTTATTAAAAAATTTAAAAGATCTTGAATTAATTCAAAACTATTATAAAATTCTAAAAAAAAAAAAAATAACTTAGATAAAATAATAGAAAAAAATTAAATGAATATAAAGATATAAAAGAAAAGAATAGAAGAATTTGAATTAGAAAAAAAAGATTATGAAGAGTTAGATAAATATATGGAAAAAAAAAAATAAATAAATATAATAAAAATTTAGAAACAAAATATCAAATAAAAGAATATAAAGATATAGAAAAAAGAATAGAAAAATTTGAATAAGAAAAAAAATATTCTAAAGAGTTAAAAAAAATAATAAAAGCAATAAGATTAAAAGATGATTTAGATCTAGTAGTAGTAGCAACATTAGAAAGAAAAAGATTAGAAAGAAGATATAGTGAAGCAGTATAGCAAAGCCCAGATTCATTATAATTAAAAATAATTTTCAAAAAATAATTTTTTTGATAATGAGTTAAATAATTTTCTTTTATATATAAAAAAGATGTCTTATGTGAGTATTGAAAATTTTGATGAAGCAAATTTATATGTAAAAAAAATATAAAAATTAAACCTGCTCCACATCAAAAAATAGTTATTGGCTACAACTATTCAGATTGTTCAGAGGCTTTAAGAGTAAAAACCCCAAAATCGTTTTCATATGGAGTTAATGAAAATAGAGATATAAAAACAAAAGAACGTACAGGATATTCGATCCCTTTTGTATGTAAAAATGATACATTTATCACAATTATTGAAGCTATTGAAAAATTTTGTAGAGATAAAGTTACTGAAAATGAATCAATG